CCTGTTATCAGACCTGTTAATAGTGGGGGAATTTAAGCCAACCTAAAACGCAACTATATGGTCATAAACTCCTAAAACTAGTCAAACTGACTAATCATTTGTTTTGCTCTGTCGTGTTTTTCTGTCTATATTCCGTGAAGGAAGGCATAGATGTGCTGTCGCAGCAGTTTTTGCTGATTCGAGAGGTCTTTTTCGCTCAGTCAGTCATTTAGGCTTTATTATTTGGTTGTATATCAACAGCTTATTGTATATTGACAATCCGGACCTACGACCTCGGGGCCAATAGTTTTCTTTCTATTTGTTTTCTAATTCTATTATTTTCTTCTTTACATGTTCTTTACATGTATTTCTCTGTGTTTTCGATTGATACTTTACCACCATTCAAATTTAATTGTAGTGGATTCACAAGATTTTTGTTTATGAAATTGAACACATGTAAAGAATTCAACACAATAATAGTGACTAATAAATGTACGCCCCGAAGATAATATTGATTTTTTTCTAAAATTCTCTATTTTGGAAAATGAATCTAAGTAAAAATTATTTTATTATATAAAAGCATTCTGCACAGTTTCAATTTATTTATTTAATTCAAATTGTACAATAATTAACCTTGTTCTAATTTTTTTATTTTATTGAATATTAACCTACATATTACATAATATTATAACAATATTTTTATAGTATTTAATATAAATTATTATTAGCTTAAAAAAATTTTAATGTTCCATTGTTGAATTTCGATAAAAATCATTTAAATATAATAAATATTCAATAATAATAAATTTTTTTAAGTTCCTCCTTCAATCGTTTAATAAAATCGATGTAATATAAAATAATATTAGTCTACCTTTTATGATATTATTAAATTAATTTTTTTAAAAAACTCTTAATTCATTATAGATAGTTTAGTATTATAATAACAATTATATCAACATCCTCAATCAAAAATCTATAAATATATATGTATGTAAGTATAGCTATTATTGATTTCCATTAAATCAGTATAAATCACAATCATTTAACTAATAACCTATAGAGTAAATTTTTTATGCTTATAGCTATAATGGAAAAAAATTGTAATATTAAATTTAAAATTATTAACTTAATTTATAGCATAATTTTAATCTTTTAACATTTCATTTAACAACTACTACCATTTATAGATTACCATAATACTTACATACCTACATAATGTTATTTATATAAATATTCAAATTATTGAAACTAACCAGTGTAGAACGCCTTCGCTGTTTTCTTTTCTATTTATTCAAAAAATTTTTCTTTATTTTATTGTATACCTCGGCATATCTACATTACACATACATATACTTTAACTACATTGCATACCACAAGTATTAAGATGTTTGTTGATTTTGCCCACCCTGTTTGTTGCTAACATAAACATCTCGTTCAAGTTGTTAAATGACAAAACACAGAAAAAAAACAAAAATAAAAAGAAAGAAACAGAAGATATCTGTCAAAACAGTTTGATTTGTCATCTATCATTCTTATAACCGCACAGTTTATAACATTGTATTTTCTACCTAGATATTTTAACAAAAAGAAAAAGGAAAGCAGAAAGTTTTATTATAGCAAGGTTATCTTTATGAGAGATCTCTTTATCTAAATATAGACAAAATAATAAATAAATCTACATAAAAAAGAAAAAAGAAGAAGTACGGGAATAAAAAAAAAGAAAGTGAATTTAAAACCGTTATAACAAAAATAAATAAATGATTGCCATCTTTTGATAATAAATTACAACAAAATTGAATAATAATAAAGAGACGCACATAAAAAGAGAGAAAAAAAAAACAAATACTCAATAAAATAAAATTGATTTTTATTAAAGTTGTTATTTTTCTATTTATTTTTCTAGAAAAAAAAATTGACATTACAGATTTGACATTTTTAAACCAGCAGGAATTTTAATATTTGTGGGAAATGTGCTTTAAAATTCAAAAGCTTTTAATTTATTTTAATATTACTAAGACGTACAATTGGTCTCTTTGGTTGAAATTCATACGTGGGGTAGTAATTTTTACCTGCTTATTTGTAATTAAATTTAAAATATTTTTTTGTTTTTCAACTGGTCCTGAAATACTATTCTTCTCCTTAATATCAAACGCTCTGCTTCAAATATGTTGTGAATTTTATTGTAAAGTGAACATTCATTTTTTGTCCCGCTTTAATTTCTGTGTAGTTTGTTTGATATTTAAGGAATTAGAAATTGCAGTCTGTAATCAGAATCGTTAAATATTGTGTCAAATGTTTGAAATTACTTTATAATAATTTAAGTTAAACTTTTAAATTTGTTAAACTTGTTAAATTTGCATTGGGAAATAGCTAATTATCTTCGAAATTTGATATTTTACGCTAAGTCTGATAAATACTTGTTTTGAAGATTTTGCGACTTATACTTACGACTATTACAAGTTATAACGTATTAGAAGTTTTCAGAAAATGTTAGTTTTTGATTTTCAATTCCTAGAAACGATAAAAATGTAAAATGAGAAATGCAGACGTAAAATGAGTTTTTATAAGACCAAAGGAAATTTTCTAAATAATTAGAACTTATAGCCCAATTTGTTTGGTGTATAACAGATTTTCTCCTAAATTGTATTACTTTTGTAGTATATTCTATGACTTTTATTATCCGACCTATTGTTTTACTTAATATTCTTTTGCATTTAGAAAATTATTGTCATTAAACAAAATATTTTTTTTTTTTGTGGGTGTGAATTTCTTCCTTGGGTTTTCTCTTTATTTATATTATGACGTACTTATTTTGGGCTTTTCTTCCTATCTAAATTGTAAACATTGCACGTCTGTGTGTTTTACATTTTTATTATCTCTATATATAGTATAAAAATAAATATTTTGCGATTTTACATATTTACGTGTTTGAATACCTACGTATATAGGTGTATGTATGCATGTGTTTCGAATTATATATCATTGGAGCCATAAGTCTATGAATGAATGGCGGATCAAATAAGTTGACATATTTAATCGGAAGAATGTTTTTTCCTTTCCATTTTTATTGGATCATTTTTTCCACAATCTGCCATTTAAATATATACATATATAGTAGGTATACTTATACCTACATTGTATTATACCTATTTACTGTTATAAAAATAATTATGCAGTTATGTATATAGCGAAGGTTGTTGTCACCACAAAATACTTGAAATTTAAACATTATGAAATCAATACTGTAACAATGACAGAATATAAAGAAAATAAAAACAAACAGAATGAAAAAGAAAAAGGAAAGATGATAATAACTGTAATAATAATAACAGTAATAATAGAAAAGTCATTAATAAAATGTCATCATTTTTCTTTTCATATTTTATGGCTTTTTAAGGAATGACGCGACGCAAAAATTTTTGCTTTTATTTTTCGTTTTGTTTCTCTTCTTGTGCTTGTATTTGACATTTTTAGTAATAAAAGCTGTCAAAATCTATGAATTTTTCAATTGTTTTTCTTTTTTTTGGTTTGCTTCATGTTAGGTATTAATTTTTTTTCTTTGTTTTTTTTTTTTGTGAAAATTTTAAATGTTATTAAAATGAAATTTATTCTAGTGAATTTTTTTTTTTGTATGTGTATGTCTAGGTAAGGTGGTTTAGGTTAGGAGGTCGTTATGTGAATTAAATCGAAAAAGGAGCGGTAAAGTTGGAATTTATTTATTTATTTTGTTTTTTATATAAAATTTTATTGATTTTAATGAACAATAGAATAATGGCTTGGAAATAGAATTTCTCTTAAGTTGATATTTTTATGAATAATAGAGCATTTTTTATTTTATTGTGTCGTACAATTTATTATGAAATTTTTGATATTATTTTTTGTATATATTTATGACTTTATCATAAAAACAAAAAATATTAAAAGAGAAATTTTTCTGTTCTTCACTAAAATATGCAATAAAAAAAAATTGTGTTTTTTTTTTTGACAGCCAATAATAAAAACATTTTTGAACGCTTCTATTCCCTCGTTATATTTGTCACATGCAACATAAACTAAACTCTCATTTTTAATATTAGTGACAATAAATGAATTTTCAATAATAATTTTACCCTTAATGTTTGTGTGTGTGTCGTAAAATAAAAATGTTAAAAATAAGGCAATAATATTTAAAATCTCTACGTTTTTAAGATATAAAAATAAAAATTTATAACATTTTTATTGAATTTTTGTCTCTTTTTTCATATAAAACGTATACGCAATATTTAGTTTTGTAACGATAGTTTTTATCACATTCTTAAATGCCACCATCATAGGAACTTTAATAAATATGCCATGATGCTTGAATATTTTGAGTTCTTATAGATTAAGTTTTTATTATTTACTTAAAAATAAATTTATTTACGATATTAGTAATAAACATAATACGAGTATGTTTGTATAGTGCAGTCACTTATGAATTTCTCATGATATAAGTGAAACAGATTTTTTATGATGATTTTTATAATTATTATACTAAAAGTTTTTAAGTGGCCGAATTGAAGTAATTGATTAGTTAATTATGTGGTATTTCTAATGCGGTGCTCTAGTTAATCTTTACACATCATATTTAAAATGAAATTCAGACATCTTACATTGAAATTCGCACTTTCAATTAAATTACTTACTTATATTGGAAATTTATAATTGACTGAAAGTTCGAAACATGTGAGAATGGCAATACAATCGTAAAAGAACCTCTCAAGTTTGATTTAATTGAATTCGAAGGTGTTAGTGTTATTTAATATATTTATTTGTTTTACGCGAATGATAAGACTTAATGATAAGACCACATTGAATGCGATAACACTGATTTACTGAAATTATAGAAATAAACAGAAACAGAATGCTCATTTGTTAGCAATTTAAAATATTCTGTGATTAAATTTAAAATATTTTCAATCACAATATAGTAAATAAAAAATATTTTATCTAGATTTGAATCGAAAAGTACTTATATGTGTTGTACAATAAAAATATTTTATGTATAACTCGAACCACTTTATTTCAAATTAAATTATGAATTTATATTCAAACTTTTGCAATATTTTGTATAAATGATCTAACATTTGCTTGTGATAATCTTGTATAAATTCCATATAATTCTGGATTACCACAATCCATTCCAGCTGAAACAACACCAATTTGAACACCATCCATAACCATTGGTCCACCGCTATCACCTTGGCAAGCATCTTTTCCTGGTGCTCCAGCACAGAACATCCTTCCGAAAAAATACATAATAAATATATTAATAATCCAAATAAAATTCTCAATTTTTAATGCTTACATTCCCCTTACACCACCATATTTTTCCATTACTTTATTACATAATTCCTGATCAATTATTGGTAAATGAACATAACGTAATTTATCTGGTAAAACAGTTGTTCCATTTTTTATGTAACCCCATCCTGAAACAGTTCCTATACTACCAGTTTTAATAGAACCATCATTGAATGGTAAATGTATCGGTGACATATTTTCACCAAATAAATCTGATTTTGTTTTAATAATTCCAACATCGTAATCATTATAACGATTATAATGTGGATGAATAAATAATTCGGCAGCTTCAACAACTTTTCCACCATTAGCATAAAATGTTGAACCGCCACGTAATGTTACTTCATCGGCACGTCGTTTTTCTAAACAATGTGCTGCTGTTAATGCATATCTTGGAGCAATTATTGAAGCACCACAATTATGACGTCCTCCGATTCTTAAAGAAAGCTAAAAGACACAATGAACGCTTTATTTTCTGCACTCAATTTTAATTTTATTTTTAAACTTACTTGATATGGAAAATCTGTAATATCACCTTCTTCGCCACCAATTATACGACCGTCCAATGATAACGCTGAAGCAGAGCTAGCTGCTATAGTGAATATCAAAAAAATTGAAGCAAATTTCATTTTTTTTATTTTCAGTTCTGTACTGCTCGTATTAAATTTCCGAATAAAGTAAGCTGGTGTTCTTCCGTATTTATAAATTTATTACTGAAATATATTAATTCTTCAGAATCTTTCCGTCAATATAAGAATGCTTGCTAAAAATATAGTATGATAAGCATACGCTAAGTATAATTCAGAATGATAAGTTGAACAAATTGAATAAGCTCGTTCAGTTGAAAAAAATTAATGATAAGATGAAGATCGCAATTTCTATTATAGCCAATATTATCACTTAATTTTTAAGTGGGATCTAATTAATTGCTATTGTTCCAAATCAGAGCTTTTTAATCTTTCGAAATTGTTTTAAGTTGCTTGAGTTGAATAGAAATTCAGAAATATTTCTTCATAATATTTATTTTATAATTACAATGAAACATTCCGGTGAAACTGTGTAACAAAATCTGATACTTGAAAACTATTTCAAACAGTTAGGCTATTGATTTTAAATTTAATAAATAAACATAATATAGTAAACAACTCTAGTTTAAAATTTTTTATATTTTAATTCTTAACAATTTTGAAAAAATGTTGCTCGTTACTATGAATTTTTAAACAAAAATATTTTGCATACGCGAACAATAAATAATTTTTTTTCTACAATCTGGTACCAAAGAATTACCTACCTATAACAGGCATTACAACTATCTTGAAATTTTTTTATAAGGTCATTTTGAACTTGTGCAATGTGTTTGAATTAATCAAAAAGAAATTTGGATATAAAGCTCTGATATACCTATATGCATTCGTCATAATACTAAAAAATTTAAGTTTTCACCTCTATATGACCTCAGTTGACAAAAAATTTTTAATTCCTAAGTTTAAGAATATTAGATTATCTAGTAACATTTTACCCTTCCAAAAAAGGAATTTACATTAAAGTTTCTTAAAAAATATTAATTAAAATTTCATCATAGAATTTAAATACCCTAATTAATATGTTATCCGTTTAATAGTAGAACGAAATATGTATATACAGGGTGTTTCTCGAATAAGATGTCAAATAATTTCAGGATTCTATGATCAATTTCCAGCAATAAATTGTGTGGTTGGAGAGTGTGCAGATATATTCGTTTTCGAGTTACAGTCTGTTGAAAAAAAAAGGTACTAGATTTTTAATGCATCTAAATAAACAACAATCAATCGCCATTAAAACAAGCTCCCGATGGTTACTTTTTATCTCATGGTTTCGAAGTTATAATCGTTAATTTATATTCAGTAAGAATTTGGTACCTTTCCCTTCTCATCAGGCAGTAGCTTGAGAACAAGTGTATCTAAACCACTCCCTTCTACCCATACAATTTTTTGCTGGAAATTGATTTAAGAATCATTCCTGAAATTAGTTGTGAAACACTCTATCATCTTATGTGAAACACTCTATATTAATATAGGCATACAATATTTCTTTAAATTTCAACCTACACTGAGATGTAAGTCCAATATGTCAAATTATGTACTGCGTTGAAATTTTTTCTAATATGCCAATTAAGATTTTTCTTTCCATTTTTAAAATTTGTTTATTTCTGTGAATATATTAATATTATAAAATTATATTTTCTCGACTTGTTTAATTTTAATTCTTACGTTCATATCCTTTATCTATGACATAAGCGTAAAAATTTTCAAAATAAAAAATATTCAATTTCATTAACATCAATTTCTATGCAAAAAACATTTACAACGAATTTTTAGGATAATTAGTTCTGCTAAAATTCAAAAATTCCTTACACATGTTCCACCTACCAAAATGCCTACTCAAAAAAAAAAACAACAAAAATTTTTTGATAACTAAGTAAATTTTCCTTAATTTTTTTAATTTGAGCACCGACCCTACCCTATAATAATAGTATTCATAGTATATTTTAACATACAAATATAAAGGAAAATAGAAAAAAAAGGATATTTAATTAAATAAACTTTTTGTTATCTTTTAAATGCGATTATACTATGTCATGTAACACGCATAAAATCATACACAAATGAATGTTATGTACTCTTATAGTTGGTATTCTACGATAAAATACTTAAGTAAGCTGGTATATTCAAAACATTTCTATTATAGAATGAAAGTAGAAATTCATTTTTTTTTAAATAGAGAAAAAAAATGTTTTTTATCTAAAATCTTTTAAGGATTTGAATTAATTTTTTCCTTAATTTTCATATAATGTTATTAAAGAGTTGGTTTTTATATAGAGATTACATTAGCTTTGAGTAAGATATTTGCTTTCGAAATTTTGAGAAATTATGTGGCGTCTTAAGTAAATTAATGCTGATATTCTGTATTTTGGTTTTAATTCAATTTTCTGTTTATGTCAAAAATAAAGTATTTGTATCTTAAGAGCAACCTGATGCATTTTGTATTAAAATGAAAAATGTGTCTAATATTTAACATACTTAGTATACACTTTCAGAATTTCGGGAACGATAATGCCATGACAATTACGTTTTTGATCATTCACAAAATTCATTTTATTCGCTATTCACCAAAATTCATTTGATCCTTATAATGTTTATAGAACAATTTCATCTGAATAAGAAAATACTTTTGGTCATATTATATGATCTTACCATTGGGTTGAACGTTATTAAATTGGAATGTTATTCAAATGGGTGTAAAATAAAATAATAAATGCCATTAAATAATTGAATTAATAATTTAATTAAAATTAATAATTTGTTTGTTACTTAACAAAATTGTTATACTTAAAAAAATTGACCTGAGATGTGATCCCACATACAAATATCTTCTGTAAATTTATATGTTGCTAGAATTTATAACATAAGCGAAGGATATGTTTTTTTTCAAATATTATTTTCGTAAGCAAACAGACATTATGTTCGACTTATTCATTTTAAATAGCAAAATAAGCTAAAGAAGAAAAATGTTGTGTGTTCTAAAAATAGTTGCTGTGTATAAAACTTTTGTTTCTGTAAGACATTAAAATTTCTCAAAATGGAATCCTGTATTATTGGATGATTCCTTAATAGAACCTTATAATCCTACTAAATGCCTAAACATTTGAATATTTTTCTGTAAATGTAAATTTCCCGATTAAAGAAAATTTGTTTGTGTGATTAAGTTCATACAACTCGATTTGCTATGTAAATTCACTAAACCCGAATATAATTCTTAACTTTATTACTTCTTTATTTCATATAATATTTTTGTATTCCATAATATTCTTTTATCATATTATTTATGTTCCATATTTACATGTTATTAAAATCTTAACTTCTAAACAATTATATAATATCTTTCAGTAAATGTAATAAAATATATACTTTATGTTCATATTAAGAAGAAATCACTACAAGGTTATCACTGCTGTCACTGAATTATAAAAAAAATAAAAGTAAAATAAAAATTTACGACAAAAAGCATATAATAATTTTGTAATAGTATAATAGAATTTTTAGAATTCGATATTAAAATAATATCAACAATTTGTAATTTACCACAAGGATATTATTTTTTTTTTGTAAATATACGAGTGTATAATATTTAATATTAAAAACAAAATACAAAAGCTTCTTCATATTTACATTTACATTATGGTCGTATTAAAGTTAATAATTTTACCATTGATTGCTACCATTATTCCTCGATAATAAAACAAGTACAGTAAAAAGAAAGAATATAAAGAATTTAATCTTAAGATGAAAATAATTAGATATTTTGGCCTTGAAATGTTATATAAGATTATTTGTACTCAAAATTTTATACACTGTTATTATTAATCAAGTGAGTATTAAGTAGCTATGGAGCCAAGATATTACATACTATGTGTACTTATATAAATTATATGAGTTTATTTTAGAAATTTTCATGATCTTATTAAAAGTAGAGACTTTTTGTGAATTGAAAATTATTCTGTTTTGGATAAGAAATATATTATTCAACAATTTTTGGCGTTTAATGATTTAAAAGAAGGAAAAGTGTGAAAACTTCGAAATTTATGAAGGTATATCGGGGAAAAATAATAAAATTCACAAACTACACTGAGATATTTCCTCCAACTTAGACAAATATAGGCCAACTTAAATTATCATCAGACATATCAATTTCTTGAAATAGAATATATTAAGACCGTCCCATAATAATATCAAATTTGTGATTTAAATTTAACTTCAAAATTAATTCAAATGAATTTTTACTTTTTTAACTATTATAATTAATTAATCAGAAAAAAATAATTTCTATTCAATAATTTAATAGTAGAATTTGTAATATTATTTCTGGAGGAAAATCTTTTTGAAAAATAATTTTTGCATTGGTGGTCATCCTAAATATATGCAAAAAAAATGAAAATTTGTATGAATTAAAAATAGTAATTATTATAGCTATGACATTGCCAGTATGTGTAAAATAAAAAGAGAGAATTTTTGTAATAATGTTGCCATTACATAATATTCACTTTGTTGCAGTATCACACTATAATGGGCTAGCTATATACAAATTTGCAACTTATGTTGTTTAATATTAATTTTACAAATTCATCTGAAAATTGTTCGTAATTTTATGCTTCACTGTTAAAATTGTTGTTTCCATAGACACTTTGTTTATTTTATTATTTTCACTTAATTTTTCTTTACGATGTAAGAATTTAGCTTAAAGATATTTTTAAAATATCCGTGACTAGTATTTTTTCAGAAAAATTTTACTAAAAATGTAATTTTCCATAAAATTTTCTAATATTTCCGTGTAAATTTACATTTAATATCGACGTAGGTAAATGGGAAAAAATTTTTAATTTTTTCAACTGTGAGACTATAAATTTTTTTGGATTTCTCTCATATTGGATTCTATAATATATTTTGCTTTAATAATTACCATAACTTATAGAAATTATGAACTTTATTTCGAATATGAATTAGATAATTAATTGTATTTTATAGTCCTAGGAGTTCTTATTTGTGAAAATTTCAACCAAAAATGTTATAATGATAGCCTTAAGCATCAAAATTATTATGTGCGTATTTTTTTTTATTGTGTGGCGTAAATTTCGTATTACAAGAACAATAAATTGGATA